GTAGAGGGGGGCTCCCCTGAATGTTAGCCAGGTGCTCAGAGACGAGGCTAAGTAAACTACAACTATTTCCATGTCCATACCCTCAGAATGCTCATGACTGAAAGCGAGGGTTGACAAACTGGCCGATGAGCCAAATCCGGCCCACACATTTTTCGGTAAGTGCATTTCTATGGTTTAGGCATTATCGGCGGCTGTTTTTATGCTACAATAGCAGAACTGAATGGTTGCAACAGAGACTCCATGGCCTGCAAAGCCTGAAATATTTACTGTCTGGCCTTTTATAGAAAACACTTGGTGACCTCTGATCTGAAGGAATAAACAGATTCATGTAGAATAAAGAATTCCCCCAAAATGTGCTGAAGAGGTATGAACAGAACATTATGTGAGCATAGAAAAGAGAGCTGTGGGGCGCCTGGGCGGCTCAGATGGTTAAGCATCTGCCTTCGGCTCGGGTCATGATCCCGGGGTCCTGGGATCGAGTCCCGCATCGGGCTCCCTGCTCAGTGCAGAGCCTGCTTCTCCCTCTCCCTCTGCCGTTCCCTCTGCTTGTGCTCTCTGGCTCTACCTCTCTGTCAAATAAATACATAAAATCTTTAAAAAGAAAAAAAGAAAACAGAGCTGTAAACACAGGCACATACACACCTGTACACACACAAGATATTACCATGTTATTCCTCTGCCAAAGGAGTAATGTGGAGATACGACTTAGGGAGTTTGGGGAGATGGCGCATTTTCCTTTAGCATTCTTCACAGAAAGGCTGGAATACACATACTGGTGGTGATAGTTGCTTTTTTTCTCCCCCTCTAGCTCAGCACTACTAAGGGTAGGATCAACTGACTCTGTGAAAATTATATGGAAAATATCACTGTTTGGGGGTAGATTCTTAATGCAATAGTAACAAATCACTTATCTACAGTTGAATATTTAAAAGTACTATTCTTTCATTAAAATGACCTGAATATTGTCATATAGATAACTGGCAAAAGCTTTGCCTAGGCTTGTGCTCTTAAAATCATGAATATAATTATTTTAATAATAAAAGTGGACTTGACTTCAAAAGATCACCATCAAAGCGTCAGGTGGGAATATATAACGAATTCAAATAAGGTTCTTGCCGAACTCAGACAGGACAAGAGATCTGTAGGATCTGCCAATAAACAACCCACAAATCACAATTTTACAAATATTAAGTATTGTTGGAAAGGGTAAATTCTATTATGATTTTATCTATGAATTCTATAGGCCTTTAATATTGAGAGGCAATATAATAGCAATGGTAAAGGCCCAGATTTTAGAGTCAGAGCTGAAATTAAGTTGTGCATCTACCTTTTCCTACCTGTATGACCTTAACAGAAGTACTTAACCCTTCTGGCCCTCAGTTTACTCTTCTGGAAAATAAGAAATATTTGCATATTGTTTACTGTGTCAGAGGCTATTTTAAGCCTTTGTATAATCGTTCCATGGACACTATGTTGTTTAGGAATTTCGCAAGTAACAAAACTGAGGCTCAGAGTAGTTAAATGACTTATCCAAAAATCACCCAGCTACTAAGGAGCCAAATTTTCAATTTGGACCGAATTTGTCACCAGAGGCTCTGCTCCCAAATCTATACGCCTAATAACCCTACTGTGGAGATGAAATAAGACCATCATGCAAATGACAGACGGGCATGTGATAAGGGGCAGGAAGGGATGTGTACACATGTGAGTATACACACTGAGGCCTTTGATTCTGACAGAGTAACAACAAGCTACTTTATAGAAATTGTTTTGAAACCTCATAACCACAACAGCTGCCAGAGTTTGCACACTATTTAGGTAACAGGGTAGGATTCTCACTCAGATCTTCTTGGTTCCAGACATTACCCCATATTTCCCAGGTCTAGTTCTGACCAAATCACACGTTATGTCAGCCCAAAGCATGTAATTCCTGAAGGAGATTCTCGGCCTTTTCTCCTCCCACTGTAGTGGCTTAGAAGGTCCTGTATTCCAGATAGTGCTGCTACAAAACAGAGGGGTTGCTGTCAGCCTGGGTCCTTGGGTGACTGTGTGAAGCAGAGCCCCTTCTACCGACCTGGGTTTGACATGTAATGTGACAAAAGACAAGCTACTGAGATCAGAAATCTGGGGTTTATTGCCACTGTATAGATGTCTTACTTAAATACTGCTGTCTTTAACTATTCTCCAGGTGAATTATCTTTTCCTCATTGGTTTACAGAAACTCTTTGTTTGTTAAGGATATTGACATGGTGTCTGTTACGTGTGTTGCAAATGTTTTCCTCCCTATGATTTTGCTTACATTTTATTTTGCCGAACAGAAATATTTTTGCTTATGCTGTATTTTTCTGAACAGGAATTTAAAGTTTTACAGAGCCAGACTTGTCAGATATTTTTCTCTATGGCTCCTAGTTTATCTGTCAGAAATAGAGAGGATGTTCCTTTGCCAAGATAATAACTTTCCCATAGTCATTTACTGAATAGGCTATCATTGTGCCCTGCTCCTGGCAGAAAAGCTATTTTTATCAATACTAAATCCATATATATATATATATATATATATATATATATATATATCCATACACACATATATATAATCCATATATATATCTCCAATCTGTTTCTGCACTCTTAATATTGTTCTATTTTCATGCCCATTCCATACTAATTTCTTACTGCTTTTTAATATATGTTCTGATATATAATGGACCCAATTCTTCATTTTTTTATTGCAAATATTATTGGCATACACATGTATTCATTCTTCCAGATAAAGTTTACTGTTTGTCAGCTTTCAGAAAAGAAAATGCACTGGGATTCTAAATGAGATACTAAATGTGTATATTAATATGGGGAGCACTGAAATCTTTATATTGTTGAGTTTCCGTCAAGGAAAATGATGTGTATCTTCATTTATTCAGATCTCATTAAAATTTTATAGTTTTCCTTGTGTATTTCTTATTGAATCTATTTCTAGGTACTTTATACTTTGTGTTGCTATTGTGAATGTGTTGTCTTTTGGTAACACAACATAGATAACTTCGAAGAACTGTCTAAAAATAGAATTTAAACTCAAACCTGCACAATAATTACCTAGAAGCCAGTTGAGAGAGACATAATACATAAATGTTTCTAAGATGAGAAAAGGGGCGGGGGATGGCCCTTGGCTTGGACCAGACTGAAGAATGTCATGTCTACCTGAACCGCAGCACAGTGGCTCTGAATGCAACTTTTGCTTCATTCCATTTTGCTGTTAGGCCATTGCCTACAAAAACCCTTTTCAGAACTTACTAGGAGGTTGTTTTTCAACAATGTTATTTTCTATATTACATTTGTCATCTGTATGAAGCTCCCAAAGAGGAATCCCCCTGGTCTTTGTTCCTCCTGAGAAACTGCTTTGTGCTTTTAGCTAGCGGACCCTATTATAAATCATGTAACTGATAGCATTTCCCACTGCATTGTCTGCTAGAGAGCTTAGCGTCAAATTTTCACCCACTGCTAACATATGCATGGGATTTTCATGGATGCATTCAAATTCTAAGCTTATGCCTGGCCTTGTTGAACTTTCTTTCCAACATTTACGCCTGTTTTTCATTTATTTTTATCTTGTTACATCTTACATATCTTTGTAATCCACTTCAAATGTGTTCTGGATCAAAACAGACTTGAAAATGCTTAGACGGCTATAATCCATGCTCCAGTTCACGAAATTGCATGATAAATATAATTACCACACCATTTGATATAAAGAACTTTATTTTGAAACAAGGAAATACAAATTCTTTGAAGTTACACATCGGTTTGTATAGAATCATCTCAGCCTTAATTTCTAAAATCAATCTGACTTTTGAAAACCTTCTAGTAAAATGATTACAGTAAACTTTAGACTTAAAGTCAGGCTAGGACATATATACTTTGAGAGTCATCATATTACTAGTTTTTATTTATCTTTTAAAAAATGTGTGTTTGCTCCCTGTTTCATTCTCAATACTGAAAACACAATTTCCTCACAAAGATTTACTCTCTTTCTATATCTAAAATTTTCCAAAAAAGAATTGTGAGGCTACATAAATTCAAAACAATTATTTTTGTGACCCAGCATGAAATTGTGTAAGACTTTTAGTTCAGTGAAGTATATTAGACGGTGTTCTTTTTTTTTTTTTTACTGTTTTTTTTTTATTTATTTATTCATGAAAGTCAAAGAGAGAGAGAGAGAGGCAGAGGCAGAGGGAGAAGCAGGCTCCCCGCCTAGCAGGGAGCCTGATGCGGGACTCGATCCCAGGACCCTGGGATCATGACCTGAGCCGAAGGCAGACGCTTAACCATCTGAGCCACCCAGGCGCCCTAGACGGTGTTCTTAATAAGACGTTGTTTTAAGTGTGAACAAAAAAATTTTAGAAAGGAATTTGTAATACTAAAATCGATCTATACATATTCGAACTATCAATAATCTGACTTTACGAAAGTGGGACAAGGTGACTGAAGACATAAAATACTATTGAGTTTACAGGGCGCCTGGGGGCTCAATCGTTAAGTGTCTGCCTTCGGCTCTGGTCATGGTCCCAGGGTCCTGGGATCGAGTCCCGCATCAGGCTCCCTGCTCAGCGGGGAGCCTGCTTCTCCCTCTCCCGCTCCCCCTGTTTGTGTTCCCTCTCTCGCTGTCTCTCTCTCTCTGTCAAATAAATAAGTAAAATCTTTAAAAAAAAAAATACTACTGAGTTTATTTAACCAAGTGTTCCTGAACCATTCTGGGCATGAAGAATGACAGGCGTGAGGTATTGTCCTGGGAACAGCAGCCGGCAGCTGGGTGCTTTACCACATGATTCCCAAAGGGCAGAGAGGCTCCTCGGGAAACAGTAGGGTGGATTAATTTTGACAATAATAAACTTTACATGAGGGACAGTGAGCATAATAGGATCTAATCAGACTGAACTCTTGCCAAGAGCCTGAAATCAGAACCACCACCAAGTTCAATCCAAGTGTCCTCATTTCTACACAGAGAGAACATTTCTAATACTTTTATTTAAAGAAATAAAATCAATTGGTGAACTTCATAAGAAGTGTATATAATGCACTTCTTGTGTGAACCCCTTTTTGTTCACTTGGTAGCTTAGAGATATCTGTAAAGATCTGCCTCTTTACTTCTTAACTTCATCAACCCGCCTGGATGGAACATGAGGTCAACGATATACACCTCAGGGGGAGGGAGAGCCCCAATCAGTCCCTTACGAGATTCATTCATCAACTTAACTTCATTCCAGGCTCTGCCATACTCCCCACGAACCAGAGAGCAGCCAATGCCAATTTTATCAGCCAGCGCCTGTGGGAGAAAACACAAGATCAACCAAAAGTGAGGAGCGAGAGGGGCGGAGAAAAATCCTTAGCTGGAAGACCCACCTTGTTGAAGGGGAAATACACAACTCTTGCAAAGAAGTGCTTAGAAAGGAGGCTGGAAAAAAATGTGGAATATCGTAATAGGAACCAATAAAATGTGATAAGTTCCCTTGTTCCCCAAGATCCTGTAGACTCAAAATCTCTGTGTAGGTCCTGCTGGGAAGTGACATTTTTCAGGCAGTTACACTGCATTGTATCAGCACAAGATTGATAACGTCATTGGAGAATAGCTATTACACGGGCTTTCAGCACTACCGCATCTATCAATCTTTCCATGCTTCTAGGCTGCTCTGTGGGTGTGCTATGCAGTGGGATTGAATGGAGGGATCAAATTGGTGGGGACCTCTTTCTTGCCGATTTATTCTGTGTGATGGGGATGCTGCCGTAAGCAGGGGGTCGGCCCTTCTTGGGATACCTGATGCCACTTCCTCCGGAGTGGCGTATGTTCCTTGGAAGCGCTCTCTTCAGTTTGTCCTGATTTTGAAGTTATTTAAAAAGTACCTTTAAAATAATCTGGAAACTTCTTAGCCACATCGTAGTGGATTAAGAGAGCTGCTCAGACTGCCTGGATTTGAATTTCAGCTCAGCCACTTACTAGTTATTGTCACCTCAGGCAAATGACTCAGCCTCCTGTACTTCCATTTCTTCATCTGAGAAATGAGGATAACAACAGTCGAACCCCCTTCCTAGCAGGGTGGTTATGGAGATGAAGGGAATGAATACATGTCAAGGGCCTAGAGCTATGAATGCTGCACAGAGTAGGTACTCAATAGGTGTTCCTAGTAGAAGACAAGAATTGTGTTGTTTTAAAAATCCATCTGTATATTAATGTGATTTATTGATTACCTACTGTGTATTGACTTCACCAAGGTAGTCTTTCTTGGGTGGACCAAGATAATTAAGACATGGTTGTCACTTTTAGAGCCTTCCATCCTATCAAGTCTGAGCCTGCCTGGTAAACAGTCAACTAGAATACAACAGAATCCAAATGGATGGCATTCTGTGGTATTGTCATTTATAATAGGAAATACGCATTTGGTCTTTGTCCCATTTCTGGCACGGAACTCCTAAACCCTTAGAATTTCCTAAGTGATGAGAACCATAAAAATGTCTTTCCTTATGTTAATGAGGTGACTTCTGGACCGCACTTAAGGATGGGGGCTGTTAGGCAGGGGAACCAATCTTATGATTGGGTTACAACATTCAGTCCCACCCTGAACCTGGGGAGGGGAGAGGGGTTGTTGGTTGAATCAGCCCCCAGTGGCAATGATTTCATCAATCATGACTATGAAATGAAGCTTCCCTGAAAACCCAAAAGGCAAGGGTTCGGAGAGCTTCCGGGTTGGTGACCCCCTGGAGATTCAGGGAGACTGGCACACCTGGAGCAGGGCATGGAAGCTCCAAGCCTTCTCCCCCTATCTTTCTCTATGCATCTCTTCCATCTGGCTGTTCCTGACTTATATCCTTTTATGATAAACTGGTGGTCTAGTAAGTAAAATGTTTCTGAGTTCTGTGAGCCCCTCTAGCAAATTAATCAACCTTAAGGGGGCTGTGTTCTTGGGAACCTCCAATCTATAGCTGGCTGCTCAGAAGCACAGATAACAGCCGGGGCTTGTGACTGGTTGGCTGAAGTTTGTGTGGCGGGGAGGGAGCAGTGTTGCAGGAGTGAGCCCGTAACCTGTGGGGTCTGACACTGTCCCCAGGTGGGTAGTGTCAGAACTGAGTTGCATTGACCTAGCTGATGTCTGAGGATTGGCTGGATGTATAAAACCTGCTCCCCCCACCCCTGGCCTGCCACACCTCCCCCCACTGGAATTGGTACAAGAATCCTCTTATACTCATAGTCTAGTGGGGTAGAGAGTCAAAAATAAACATGTTCTCCGAAATAATATTTATTGCTCTCTTAACTCCATGTCAAGGCACTTTAAATCATCAAAATAATCCCATGAAATAGGTAACGATTGCATTTCCCATTTTATGGAGAATAAAACTGAGGCCAGATCATTTTCCTGAAGAAAGTCACCGTAAGTGGTGACCTAATGTGGAAGCCAGGGAATCTATCGTCAGAGTCTGAGTTCCCAACGTCAGGGTGATACTGCCTCCCACTGAGTTGAATGAGCTCCCAGCTGGAAGTCTCCATCTTCTCTGCAAAGTGCGAAACAAGGTCGTCTGCTTAGAGGAAGAGGCAGAGATGAAAGTGTTAGTAGGACAGACAGATGTGGGGCAGAGCTGCTGCGGGAAAAGGAAAAGCCTGTGACCAGCAGCTGGAAAAGAGTGGCCAGGCCAAATGACTGTCCACATGAGTTGGGCACGCTGACGCGGCTGTGGCACTCCCCACTGTCAAGTTCCATAGCCCGAGCATCACAGTGGAAAGGGCAAGCAATCCGACTGGCCCCGGGGGGGACTGGCAAGGCAGTGGGGGGGACAGATGGGGTCAAGAAAGTGGGGGAAGTTAGTGAGCCAATTATAAGGTCTAAGGATAATTCATCTAGGCTGCCAAGGGGGGAAAGTAAAGCCAAAAAGGAGGCAACAAACTGGAAGAAAATAGGGAGGATGAAGAGTATTCATAGGAGTGAACGATTTAGGAGGGTGGAAGGATAAAAGTTTTGATCATTGGTATTAGTGGTCAGGCCGTCAGGTGTGGGCAAGACCCAGCTAATGAATTGTGTGACTTGGCACAGGTGTGAGGGTAATAGATTCAGTTCGGCATAATGGGATGGACTGAATGTTCGTGTCTCCCCCCCAACCCCAGTTCGTATGATGAAACCTTGATCCCCAGTAGGGTGATATTGGGAGGTGGGTCTTTAGGTAGTTAGGTTCAGAGGAGGTCATGAACATGGAGCCCCCACTGCGGGATTAATGCTCTAGTAAAAGGAGGAAGAGATCAGAGCCTCCTGTCTGTCCGGGGAGTGAGGACAGAGGTGGAAAGTGGCCACTGAAACCAGGAAGAGGGTCCTCACCAGATGCTGACTCCGCTGGAAACTCGATCTTAGATTTCCCAGCCTCCGCAATTGTGAGAAATAAATGTTTACTGTTTAAGCCCCCCAGTGTATGGTATTTTGAGACAGCAGCATGAGCACACTAATACAGTGCCTAGGAGATACTCGGGTGCAGCCAGCTGGAGCGCAAACAGATCAGGAATCAGGCGAGGCTTGTGGAACAGAGGAAAGAATCTGGGCGCCCTAGGCAGTTAGTTAGTGTTTAAGGCCACGTGACAGGAGGACCCCACCGAATGAGGTACATAAAGTGAGAAAAGAGTCTGGGATGGAACCGTGAGGGACCCCCACATTGAAGGGGGGGGGAGGAAAAGAGGTCACCAAAGGCGACTGCGATGAGGTGAAAGAGAGGGCAAAAGTTACTAAAGAGAGTGGTGTCAAGGGACGAGAAGGATCAGGGACAAATTCTTTGACATATCAAGTAAGACAGGGAGCTCAGGCCAGGCTGCAATGGGCAGAGGAGAAAAATGAGGCGTGCTAAGGAGGGACTGAGATGACTAAGGTGCTGAGATGACTTTGAATTTTGACCTGGAATGAGAATTATCTACAGATAGAAGCAATGCGTTAGGTTTGATTCAGAGAGGCATGGGTACGGGCTCCGGCTGGGCCTCTGGCTGACCTTGGGTAAATTCTCTCTTTGAGTTCAGTTTTCTTGTCTTTCAAACAAGGGTAGTAATTTCAACCTTTGGCATTTGTGAGACTCTTCACAATTGCATTTATCAGGTGCTTGACACGTAGCTCAAAATGATGATGGTCATGGTAATAGGAGCTATAGGAGTAGTTGTAGCTATGATGAGAAAAGATTTCTATTTCCTCTTTAATTAGTAGAGACTTAAGTTTCGATTTTAAAGGAAAAACAGCTAATAGAGAGAAAGAGATTTAAGAAGGAGAAAATTTGATAAAGCAAGAAATACAAGAAAATATGGAAGGTTGGCATTTGAATTAGAGATAGAATTCGCTTAGAACTGGAAGCAAGATATACATGGATGTAAAGAGGTTTGTAGGTATTTGGGAAGGGATAGGAATCTTATACATTCAGTCTATAGTTCAGAAACCATTTTTGCATCTCCTATTATATTCCAGACACTTGACACAATGGAGAAAAAATTCACCCCCTCTTTCTCATATCTGATCCTTCTTTAGTGTCCCCGTCTTAGTGAATAATACCATCATTACCAGTTGCCCCGCCCAGGACCTGAAAATCGCTTTGTTCTTCTCATGCAGTACCTCATACCACACCTGGGCAGACACCAACTGTTTTAAATCTCCCTGTAAATTCACATGTTCTTCCACGTCCTCACGGCTATGGCTTTAGTAAAGGTCACCCGTATTTCTTGCTCCAATGACCTTCCAGTTGGTCTTCCTGTCTCCAGTCCTGCCCCTGCTCTAATTGATTCCCCATTCTGTTGCCTGAACGGTCTTTCAAAATCATGTTGCTGCTTTCCCCTTAACAACATTCAGTGGCTACTCACAGATTTTAGGATCAAGTGCAAACTCACACGGTGCTTTGTGATCTGGCCCTTAGCCTCATCCAACCCGCCTCTTCCTTCATCCAGACAAACTATGCTACACTCCTCAGATGGACCAGGGGCTCTCATTCCTATTATTTGGTATAAAATGTTTGCTTTGTTTAGAATGCTCTTGTCTTCCTTCTTTACCTGCTGAAATCCTACTTAGCCTCTAATACTCAGGCTGCATATCGCTTCATCCCCTGAAACTTTCCCTGACATCTCCTTAGAACCCACAAGTCAGACTTAGGCACCTGGGGTAGGGGCTGCCACTTTAGTATCTCTATATTCCCAGACCTTAGAAGAGCCCTTGGCCTATAGTAGATGTATGATAAATTTTGAATGAATATGCTTCCGATAGAAGCAAATATACATGTACATATATATCTCAAATAGAAGTAACTAAATGATAGGATTAATATTAGCCAGTTAAATGTTCTCACCATTATGATAATGACAAACATTTGTACCTACTGGCAAGCGAGGCAAAATATCTTAAGTACCTTGAAAAGCAAAGCTCGATGGTAGAAGATTCCTTTTTTGATCAGTCCAATTGGTATAACATTGGATTTGAGTTGAAATTTTAGTTCACTTATATGAAGTTCCCAGCTGAAATCATGTAGTTTCTCTTTTGAAACTTTACCGCCCATTTTTTCTGCCACATACCTATGTCAATTACATTGAGATCAAATCAGTCAAGTTTAATATCTCGTTTTGGATGCTTTGAGTATAACTGTATGTGTGAAAACTATATTTCCTCTGATTCTTATTATTGGCTTTACTCTTTAAACTTATTATAAGCCTGTTAACATTATGCCTACTGTCTTCAAACTCTCATGTATAAACTGAAATTCTAACAATTTCATTCAACACAAAGGAAGAAATAAATGTTAATTTCAATACTTATAACAAGATACAAATCAATATCACACTAAATTTGTATCAGTGCAGTCTTAAAGTTCTATCTTGCTCTTGAAAAGTATTTTCAAATGTTTCAATCTGAAATCCAAGGCATTGTACTAACATATGGTCCTTCTTTTAAGGAATTTGAACTCAGAGATAATATGAACACATAGGAAATTTTCCCATTGGATTCCCAAATATTTTCAAGTTTTATAAGTTTTTCCTTTTAAGTTGTCTTATTTTTATTTTTATTTTTTTAATTAGAGGCATTTATGTAACCCTGAAGTGAGAGGAGAGAGGAAGGGGGCAGAAGGAAAACTAAGGAAGTTGGGTGGTATAGTTTGCCTAGGGGTTTCCTCCTCATTTGAGGCTCTCCCTGAAGAAGTCAGTAAACACACCTGCAAAAATCCTCTGTCAACTGATGAAGGCTACTACATCTTGGAGTAAAGGCAGAATTGCAAATTTTAAGAAAGAATTTCCTCTTGCTGTATGTAGGATCAAGCAAAGAAGAACAACGTCGAAAAACAGAGAAAGGGGCGGGGAGAGAGCTGTCGCACCAACCCCCCCGAATGTGAGGAACCAAAGGCACGGGGACAAATCTCTGGATCTCGCCTTCAAAAGGGCTCAGGTTAAAAAAACAATTATTTGGGAATGATGAAAAGTATTTCTGATAGGAACAAAGCATGAGGACATTTGACAAATGCTGAAATGAGCTAAATCAGAGTTCTGCTCGAGTCATCACTTCTCAAGGACATCAGGAAAACTTCAGTCGCCAAAAATGTTCTCTTCCAGTTCTGGCTGACAAGAAGTCAATGATCTGGCGGCTGTGTTTCTTGCAGTTGTCACATCCAGGTTTGATGAGTGCAATGCACTGCTACTTGGAATAGACACACGCTCCCGTGGAGACTACAGCTGTTGCAGGATCCAGTAGCTCACTTACTGGTTGTCGGTGCCAGTTACGGAGGCCACCCACCACTTCCTGCGATTCCTAATCCCTTACAGCTACCAAGTCAAGTTCTCAGATTTCTCTTAGTGGACTCACATTAAATGCTCTAATTAAAAAGGCAACATCACTGGCTCACACAGAGCGTCTAGCCTGCCCAAACAGCTACCCCTTAAAACGCTCACAACCACACTCGAGAGGAACGCAAAACGCAAAATATCAGACATGTGTCTGACCTAAAAATAGTGATGGTTATTTCTATTAGAAAAGAATTTGTGGGGATGGGGTAACCTGGTGATGGGCATTAAGGAGCACACGTGATGGAATGAGCACTGGGTGTTATAGAAGACTGATCAATCACTGAACTCTACCTCTGAAACTGATAATACACTATATGTTAATTCATTGAATTCAAATTGAAAAAATTAAAAGAAGAAAATAATTTGTGAGTTTACAAAGAATTCACAATACGCTTCGTTAAATTGTGAGCACCCCAGGTACCTAAGGAGTAATTTAATTTTCTTTCTTTTTTTATTTTTGGAGTAATTTAATTTTCAGACTTTTGATTCATTCCTAACTTGTTCAGGATCACATTGAACGATGCCTTTAATGGTTTAGCTGGAGAAAATGACAAAAGCGTTTTTCTTGAAGTAATTTTCAGCTCCTAGCTCTGATTCTTGGCGGAAATAGGACCTAAAACAGAAATTGGGCATTTTTTTCAATTTATTATGTTTCTGCCTCAGGGTCAGAAGTGGGGGGCAGTAATTATGGTGTCGTTAGCTGAAAATGGGCTAAGAAATGCAAACCACTAAAATAAAAATCTTTGCTTCAGAAACTTAAAATGCCTATGTATATAGAGACCACTTACTTTGCAAGAGCCTCAATCTGCTCCTTAATATTGGTTATAGGAAATATTGACTTGGTCACTTCATATACATAAACACAGAAGTCCGGGTCGGAGGGAGGGTACCATTCTTTATCGGGGCTCCCTTCTCCAGCCAGTTTTGGGGCTGTTGCAACCTCCTCTTCCTCCTTCACTTTTTCCTCTTCTCTTTTCCCTCGGCCTTTCCTTTGAGAGGAAATGGCAGCAATCAAAGTCACAAAATGAATAGGCACTAACTGTGCTCCGAGTTCATCTGAAGAGCACCCCAGAAATGAGTACTTTATACCTTAACGACCGTGTATCATGTGCAGTTTTCAAATTTTTAATGACAACGATAGAGTTTTATGGTTTCTATATTATGTAAGAGAAATTAACTGTCAAAGAGAACACAACATGATTGATACATATTACGAAAATCATGTACTGGTCTTGCGTACAATTGCCTAGCCAGATGTCTGGTGCATAGTAGGTATGTAATAAACATTTATTGAATTGGGAAAAAATAGTTTGCCTCTTCAGGGAGTGTACACCAGTCTTACATCATCTCTTGCTTCGGGTGAGACCTTCTGCAAGAAGAATTTGAATCACTGTTTTTAAGAAAAATGACCCAAAACCTGGAAAAAAGGCAAAACAAAATAAGGCTAGCATGGAATTTTTATGTCATGCAGGGGTAAAGACTTACCTAAAGTTTTTATAGGGAAATGTACTTAGTTCTGTACTTAGGAAAACTGGAATGTACTTTGTAAAGATATTGTTTAATTAAAATATTCTATGAATTAATCGTTTCAAACTTAGAGAATTTGCTAGCTAACATGTAAGTGTTTGTTTTGTAGAGATGCAAATTATTTCTGTCAATGTAGAAGATATGGTCAGAGGTTATAGTTCATTGTCCTGTAGGATGGTAACCAGTTTTTGTTTTGTTTTTTTAATGTAACTCAGCCGTCTTTTTCTAACATTATTTAATTGAATTGGATATAAATCCCTAGCTCCTCAAATGTCCTTTGGACCAATATTAACATCTTACTGGTTCCCTCATTAATTTATGAGTTGAACAAAAGCAATGACATGTATTCTCATTCCAGGTAACATGAAGTAGGCACATTTAACCCCGTTTCTCCTACTGAATACAGTCCGTCAAACCTGGACAGGATTCAACAGCTACTTGAAGACTCTGAAAAGCAAATGGTAGCAGGAAGATCCGAGAAGGTCTCTGGAATTACTGAACAGATGGTGAGTTTATCTTTTTATTTTTCCCCAGTATTCTCCAAGCCGAATTAGACATAGCTCAAAATCCCGGAAGTGGCAGCAGCACAGAGAGAGCTCAAGGAGAAGCCCTCTTGAGAAACAGGAAAGACAGAGCGGAGAAAAGCCATGTTTTGTTGTTTTCTTTTTTTCCCTCCATTCTCTTGTGTCCCAGCCCCCAAGGAATCCTGTGACTGAGGCAGCAGCGGTGACATCAGCATCTCATAAGAACCTAAAATAACTTTATACTCGCTCAGTCCTCATGTTGCTTGGCTGGAGATTATAGGGGCAGTCATGGCCAGAGTATAGCAGGGCAGGGTAAATAAAGTTTTCTGACTTGAGGACCAAAAAACCCCCAAAGGAACCAACAAAGACAAGGGAGATCATGAAAAGGGAAAAGCTCAGGAAAAAAAAAATCAAGTTATTTATGAATTCTTAGGCTTACCCCCAAGCTGTGTACACATCGTTCTGACCCTAAACAGTACATCACAGATGTTGAGGCTGGAACGATGGGACAGACCACCACCCAAATCCTAAACTGGACACTAGCTGGCACACAGTCAGAACTGCTCCAAATAGCACGGCAAAGCCTATGGAAACTGGGCTGACAGTGGAATGACAACCCACAGAACACTGGCTGAAACTTGTTGAAGATTGAAAGCAGCTGGGTCTGGGCACCTGACGTCTCAGAGCGTGTGACTCTTGATCTTGGGGTGGTGAGTTCGAGTCCCACGATGGGTGTAGAGATTACTTAAATCAATACAACTTAAAAAAAAGAAGAAGAAGAAATCAACTTGGTCAACTGCTGGCTAAAACAGACACAAATAAAGGGAAATTCTTCTTAGAATGCATATAAGACACATTTACCAATATTTTGATTACTGTAACTTTATCATAAATCATTAAATCAGAGAGATTTTTTCAACTTTATTATTTCTTTAAAATTATTTTATATACCCTTCCATAAAGGTTTTAGAATTAGCATGTCTATATCTAAAAAAATCCTGCTGGAATTTTGATAGAATTGTACCAAATCTATAGATCAGTTTGGGAGAAAACTGACATTTTTATTATGTTGAGTTTTCCAATACATGAACATGGTATATCTCTTCACTTATTTAGTGATTCTTTGATTTCCTTTGTATTTGATGGTTCTCAATATATGTTTTGTTTCATTTTCATTTTTATTTCATATCTCATTTTTAAAGCTATTAAAAATGGTATTCAACAAATTTTTGGTTTTCAATTTTTTATTGCCAGCATATAGAAATATGATTGATTTTTATGTGTTGACCTGATATACTGATCTGTTGCTAAACTCACCTATTAGTCCTAAGAGGTTTTTTTAAAAATAGATTCCTTATGGATTTTCTATTCAGACTATCTTGTTGTCTGCAAATAGGAACTGTTTTTTCCCCTTCATTTTCCAATCTTTATACTTTTAAAAATTGCCTTATTGCAATGTGTAGGCCTTCGAATACAGTGATGAATAGGAGTGATAAGAATAGTTATCCTTGTTTTGTTCATGATTTTTTCAGAAAAGCATCCAGTCTTTCACCATTAAGTATGATATAATCAGTTGTTTCTCCCCACCATGGATGCCTTTCATCAGGTCGAGAAAGTTCCCTTATATTCCTACTTCACTGACAGTTATATTTCTAATCATAAATGATGTTGAATTTTGTCAAATTATTTTTCTGCATCAATTAATATGATCATGTGGGTTTTTTTTCTTTATACTGTCAATATGGTGGATTACATTGATTGATTTTCAAATATTGAACCAGCCTTACATTCCTGGGATAAACTCCTCTTAGATGAACTATCCTTTCTATGTATCACTGGATTTGATTTGCTAATATTTCATAGAGGATTTTTACATCTGTATTCATGATGGATACTGAGCCGTAATTTTCTTTTTGTATAACCACCTTGTCTGATATTGGCATTAGGATGATGCTGGTATCATACATTGGGAAACATTCTCCCTTATTTCCTGGAAAAGACTGTTTGGAGTTGGTATTGATTCTTGAAATGTTTAGCAGAATTCACTAAATGAAACCGTCGGGATCAGGAGATTCTTTTTAGGAAAGGTTTTATGAATTCAGTTTCTTTCATAGTTCTGGACTATTTAGGTCATCTATTTCATCCTTGGTGAGTTTTGATAGTTGGCAGTTTTTGATGAATTCGTTCATTTCATCTAAGTGGCTGAATTAAAGTGCTCATAGCATTATCTTTCAATGTGTGTAGGGTTTGTGATGATAATTCTCTCTTTCATTTCTAATATTGATAATTTACACATCCTCTTTTTTATGCTCTGTCAGTCTTGCTAGAAGGTTATCAATGTTACTGATGTTTTTAAAGAACCAGCTTTTGATTTCAGTGGCCTTCTCTATAGCTTTTCTGTTTTCAATTTCATTGATTTCTGCTCCTTACTATTTTCTTCCTTCTGCTTGTATTGGGTTTATTTTTCTTGTCTTTTTCTAATTTCTTGAGGTAAGAGCTTGGGTTACTGACTCAAGACCTCCCTTTTATTCTAATACATTTAGTAAAATAAATTTCCCTCTTAGAACTGCTTTGCCTGTATCCCACAAATTTTCATATGCTACATCTTCACTTTCATGCAGTTCTTTGTAGTTTTAAACCTCCTTTGAGACTTTTGTCCCATAGATTTAGAAATGTATCATTCAATTTCTGCACATCTAGAGATTTTCTTGTCTTTCTGTTGTTAATTTCTAGTTTGTTTTTATAAGGGTTAGAGATCATATTCTGTATGATTTCAATTTCTTAAAAGTTGCTGAATTCTGTTTTATGACCCCAGGTATTTGTAAATGTTCCACATGAAGTTGAAAAAATGTGTTTTCTGTTGTTAGTGGTGGAATGTTCTATAACACATTGATTAGATCCTATTTATTGCTGGTATTGTTCAAATCTTTTATATCTTTGCTGATGTCAGGTCAAGTAGTTCTATCAGTTGCTCAGAGGGGAGCGTTGAAGTCCTCAGCCATAATTTTGGACTTGTCTATTTCTACTTTCTGCTCTATCAGTTTTTGTTTCATGTATTTGAGGCTCTGTTGTTTGGTGCTATACATTAGATCACTGTGTCTTCCTCACAGATTAATCCATTTTGTCATATGTCTTTGTCTCTAGAAATTTTCTTTGCTCTGAAGTCTACTTTATTACATATTAAAAAGCCACTCCTGCTTTTTAAAAAATTAATGTTTACATGGTATCTTTTTCCATCTTTTCATTTTCAACCTACCTATATCAATGAATTTAAAGTGAGTTTCTTTAAACAGCATATAGTTCCATATAACTTTTTTTTAAGCTTTTATTTTTAAGTAATCTCTACACCCAGCATGGGGCTCGAACTAACAACCCTGAGATCAAGAGTCGCATGCTCTACCAGCTGAGGCAACCAGGTGCCCCTCCATTATAACTTTTTAATCCACTCTGTCCATCTCTGCCTTTTGCTTGGTTCTTATTCCTGTTTTTCCTTTTTTGCCTTTCTGTTGGTTACCTGAACATTTTTCAGTTTTCCATCTTGATTTATTCACACCATTTTTGAGTGTAGCTCTTTGTATTGGTTTGTAGTGGTTACTGTAGGATTTTAGTATACATACATGGCTTATCACAGTCTGCTGGTATCCACATTTTATCACTTTGAGGGAAGTGTGGAAACCTCACATCCATTTAGCTCTCTTTACCTCTCTTCATTTTTGTTTCAATCATCAAATATGATTTATAAAACTCATGAGGAAACAGATAGCCTATTGTATGTACCCATATTTCAATTCTTTTTGCTATTCTTTCTTCCTTCCTTGATGCTTCCAGATTCTTTCATCATTTTCTTCTTGTTTGAAGAACTTCTAGTAACTAGTCAATATGTAAAGGTAGAACTGCTGGCGATAAATTTTTTGTTTTCCTTCACTTGGGAATGTCTT